TTAAACGTGTAATCAAACCAAAGTATCAGAATCAAGACAAAAATGACTAGACAGAACAGTTCTTTGAGGAGGAAGAAAAAACGGTTTTAAACTTCGTGAATTTGTGGTGAGGTTAGGTATTACACAATCAGAAATAACGACTGCCTTATTTTGAAAGCAAAGGAAACATTCTGAACGGTTAGGACAAGGTGATATCTCAATTTCAGGCCATTATAGACCGCAGTTACTGCTCGATGGCATTACTGCTCTGTGTAGAACAGTAACAAACAATTACTTTTGGGCGTCAGTATTCCAAAATTTTTGGTTTATAGATAAAGTAGCTTAATGTGTAGAATCCGAAGGAAAAAAGGGAAAAAAATTTTGTGAAGCTTACGAAGAAATAACAAAAGAAAAGAAGAAAATCAGAGGCTATAAGAGAAGCATTATCTTCCATTTTGAGGAAGATCGATTTATCGAATAAATTTTGTTTATAAATCAGAAGCTTTAGACGTTTTTATCATTTATGTCGTAAATTAATCCTAAACGACAATTTGTATTGCAGTATCCAACCTACAACTTTGCAACTGCACTGACATGTGGCCAGCACAGCAATTCAGTTTAGAGACAAAATATCAAAAATTTTTGCAAATGTTCTTACTTGGTACTTCTGGTGGTGATTCTTTTGCTGAAGGTTGTCTACCGACTACCAGTTCAACAGTGCCTGCTTGCTGGCGAAGAATTGTTGCTACTTGTTGAGAACCCATGCCTTGAACATTAACTGCACCTACTTTTAAAATATGGTCTCCAGGCCTCAATTCCTTTCCCTGCAACGACATTGCAAACTAACAAACCTGTATGCCAGGTCAACAACATTTAAGCAATAAATAGAATGAAAGTACAGTGTTGAATTTCCTTTGAGAAAAAGAGACATTAATACAGACTTTATCGGCCGGACTTCCCGGAAGAATAGTTTTGACAACGACACCTGTCGATGCTCCGCCAACAATTCCGAATCCGAGACCGACCCCAGGTTCATTAGGTAATTGGATAATTTGTAATTCTATTCGGTCACCTACTAGCTGAAACAAAAAAAACTTAGTAAGTCAAGTATTAAACAGCCTGCAAACTCAGCCTAAAACACGTTTTTTTGGAGCGAGGAAAGATAGTAAACTAGTTTGAGACGCTTGATTCTGCGTTGAGTTGCTTGTTAATTCTCAAATAGGTTAAATTTCATTTCCTGTTTGGGTACTGCCCACTCTCTTGGAGGAAACTCTTTTGGAAAAACTGCTTCAAAAGCTTTGAAAAAAAAAGCTAATTTTTTGCTCTAAGATATACAAATAAATTGATACTAGCTTTGCAGCCTAAACAACGTGACCAGCGATTAGTTCAAGTTTGTTGAACTTTTTCTCCGACTAATACATTTTAAATCTTACAAGGTTCAAGGCGAAATAAATGAGAATCTTTAAAGTCGAGCATTTTTTTAGAAGTGAAAAATTGGTTAGCTTGAAGCAGTTGCTGGAGATGTAAAGTAAAGGAGAAAACAACTAGAGCTTATTTTAATGAAATATGCTGTTGGAGAGGAACATAATAGAATGAAAATGGATATAAGAGGAAAACCGAGTGTAACGCAAAATCCAAGTATTCATCACACTTTTTCAATACACTACCGATTCTTACGCATTCTTTGCCTTAGTAATTACTTTCTCATTGCAGTTTCACCTCGTTTAACGGTCTATATTAGAAAAGTCACTGCACACTGTTTTAATATCAACCAACACCTTTTCTATCTGTTCCAATGCTTTCAGCTGTTAGAAGCAACGAATGTACAGTTAGTCTTACTTTCATCTGCAGTCTGCTCTCACACATCCTCCAAAATTTGCTTCTCCACGGTTACCTTTGAAAAAGTCTGTCACTCTTCTCAATTGTTCCCTTTTGTCAGTCTATATTGCTTCAACTTTAAATAGTAAACAGATTATTTTCTTTATTCAACTCTTTTTAAACGCTCAAATGTTTGGTGAAATCCAATATGTAGTTATAATAGACTCATAATTTCTTTGTTTGTTAAAAGTACACGTACTTTTTTCTTTTTGAAAAAGTCAAAGTTGGAACAAAAAAAAAAACCTTTTTCGTAAGATTATTTTTTGTTCCAATGATTAGTTCTCAAAACAAATTCTTTCTTCAAATGTCAATAGTCAGATTGATGCAGAAAAAATAAAATGGCAAAGGAACAAAAAAAAAATTACAAGGCAAAAAAATCAATGCGCCTTCTTTAAGAAAATGAATAAAAATTGGTTTTTGTGGTCGACAAGTAAAGAAAATTTTTTACAACTAAAAAAATTTAACATTTTTATTCTTAGTACAAATTTGATGCATATAAATTAAAAAGCAATTTCTTTTTTTTGTCTTCGCTTTTGTTGTTATTATCTTATCGTTTTTTTTTT